GGCCCGGGTAATTGTTACGATACAAGCGGGGACTAAGAAGGAAAAAAAAAAACCTCCGACGACTGATCGGTTCCTGGGAACACAGACGAGTAGAGTTTCTGAATGAGCACAGATGAGGAGTGGCCATCCCTGAGGAGCACTCAGTTCAAGTCAGCAAGCTTACCCCCTCCCCCCTGTACCACCGGAGCTGGGGTGGGGTGGGTGGGGTGGGGCACACTGACCTGCGTAGCTCCGCCCCGTGCTCATGTTGGTTGGCAGCAGCGTCCATTTGTCAGTGGCAGGATTGTAGTACTCCACCGAAGCCAGGTTGCAGGATCCATCATCCCCTCCAACCACATAGAGGAGCCCATTCACTGCACAGACCCCTGGGCATCAAACAGAAGCCATGGGAAATATGATAGCAGGAGCACCAAGGAATCGACATGGACAAGCGGCCAATAAATCTGGATTGCCTTGGAGGCTCTTCTTCTCTGCTTCATGGGAGCAAAAAAGAGAGCTGGCTCCACAGGTCGAAGTTTGTTCAACAAAAGTACATACTGAAAACAGCCACTGGCTCTGCCGTCCCCTTTCTGACAGGTCACTTCTCTGACCAGGGAGCTTTCATACTACATGGCCTTGCAATTGCTCCCTGTTCCCGACTCTATAAATAGGTAGAGCCCTAAGGGGACAGGCCTGTCCACTGGAGTGTTGGCCACCAGTGCACGCACACCTCCCATGCCCAGCCGGAGCTGCAGGATGAGACAGCTCAGGGGATTTCACGCACCCTGCTCCCACTCTGCTTGAAAGCTTTCCCCTGATCAACCCTATTATATTCATACCGTGTGCAGCTAGTGGTGGTGTCTCTGACCCCTTCACATTCCTGGGGTCTAAGTCCGCACACTGCTCCCAGGGATGTGGCACTTCACCCACCCTCCTCTCAGAGGGAGCTGGTCTGGGGGCAGGGTGTCATGAGCGGGAACTCAACACAGGAAAATATAATTCTTGCTCATCAAGTCTGTAAAAGGCCATAGTCTAATATACTGTGTATTTTTTAAAAATTAGAATAAGAGATTGATAATGCTCAAAAAGTAGTAACTATCAGTATTGGTGAAGATGCTCTCAAATACTGCACCTTCTTCCCAGGTGGTGTCGAAAGCACATGTGCCTCCTCTGATTCAAAAATGCATTTCTGGCCTTTTATTCTAAAAAATAATTTTAGATGTATGCATTGATTAACTATAAGGACAATTTATAATAACCAAAGCATTACTTATAGAAAGGGTGGAAATAATCTAAAATGTCCCATTGTAAATTAGTTAAATTATGATATGGGCATTTAAATAATATGGGCATTTAAATAATATCATATAAATATATTTATAATAAGATATTCATGAAAGATTGTAAAGTGAATTAAAAAGGCAGGTTATCAAACACTATTACAGAGTGATTTGATTTCTGTTATAAAAAACAGAAATATCGCCCTGGCCGGCTTGGCTCAGTGGATAGAGTGTCAGCCTGCGGACTGAAGGGTCCCAGGTTCGATTCCGGCCAAGGGCACATGCCGGAGTTTCGGGCTCAATCCCCAGTGGGGGGCGTACAGGAGGCGGCCAATCGATGATTCTCTCCCATCATTGATGTTTCTCTCTCTCTCTCTCATTCTCCTTTCCTCTCTGAAATCAATAAATAAATACATAAAAAAATAGAAATATCTATATGTGAATGTGTGTACATATACACATTTACATCTAAATTTAATTCTCAGACTGCAGATAGACTAGCTGTCTTGCGGATTCTGTAATTCCTCAGCCAGGTGACTTAAAGGACAAGTTATATCCCAGCAGGCTTAGACAATGAGCAAATTAATAAGCTCTCTGTTTACAGTTTCAACAAGTCAGCTACAAATGGGTTTAACAAACAGGTAATTTGAGTTAAACAAAATAAACCTGCCTGGAAGTCACCTGTTTGTCTTTCTAACCTGGGAAGCTGGGCTAAGCCAACCTTTCGTAGAGTAAGGAGGCTTAAAGCAGAATCATCAACACAGGACATGGCCCAAAGGACAAAGTTCTAAAATAAAACAGTTTAATAGGGGTCTTGAGCTCCAGGAAGAAAAACCTAAACACTCTAAGGCAGTGGTTCTCAACCTTCTGGCCCTTTAAATACAGTTCCTCATGTTGTGACCCAACCATAAAATTATTTTCGTTGCTACTTCATAACTGTAATGTTGCTACTGTTATGAATCGTAATGTAAATATCTTATATGCAGGATGGTCTTAGGGGACGGACCCCTGTGAAAGGGTCGTTCGACCGCCAAAGGGGTCGCGACCCACAGGTTGAGAACCGCTGCTCTAAGGAAAATCATTTCTGTAAGAAAGGAAAAGGGTAGGGAAGGAAAGACAGGAAATACAAAGAAGGGAGTAAGGGAAGTGGCTCTATTGGAGAATGAATCATAAATCCCTTCACAGGTTCCCCTGAAAGGAAGCAGACTGGTTTCAGGCGGGAAGTGGGAGGTTCTCAGAGCCAGGTCCTGGCAAAGAAAAGATAAAACCAAGTGCCATTGTCCGGTCAGGTCCTCAAAGCATCGATGGCAACCAGAGGGCTGTTCTATGTCTATCTCTGTGCTCTAAGAGTCATCACCCTTCCCTCTCAGTGCATCTCAGTGGGGACCCTGTGGCTAGCTTTTGGGGTTCCAAGCTCTCCCTCCCCTAGCCCAGAGCCCACCAGCAAATGGGCACTCCCTGTTCATGAGACAGCTCAGCCCCAGCCTGGGAGTCTTTAGGGCCAGGGTTTACAGGGAGAAAAAGACCACAACCCCCGAGGGAGACAGAGAGAGCAGTCACATTACCTGCATTGCGTCGGCACATGTTCATGTCTGCCACCTGCTTCCAGGTGTTTGTTCCAGGATCATAAACCTCAACGCTCTTCCTCACCAAGGGCCCATCGTGCCCACCTGTGGCATACAGCTGTCCGCTGAGAACCCCAACCCCTGGAAGGCAGAACAGTGTCCCCGCCTCAGGCTGGCTGCAGTGACCAGAAACCAGGGGGCCTGGCGTCCAGTCCCAGCAGCTGCCACCAGCAGGGTGACATGGGAGTGCTGTTTTGTTCCCTTGTACCTCAGTGTCCTCATCTGGAAAACAAATATGATAACCTGCCGCCTCATATGATTGTCAGCCTTTAAACATCAAAATAAAAAGCAAATATGACCCCATTTCTACTTAAAAAAACAAAAACATATTTTATATGTGCATATATATAATATGTGTATGTAAGTGTAAATAAGTGGGGGTTTATATACAAAAAAGGGGGGGAGGCACTGAAAGAACTCCACAACATTAAAAGGAGTTATTTCTGAGTGGTAAAATCATATTTCTTCTCCTTTCGCCTAGTTTTCCTTCACTGCTGTATTACTTTTATTACTCAGCCTTTTATCAGCAGTTGGACAGAAAGAGTTAAAGAGGAACCCAGCCACACAGTGGGTGTGCTCAGGTCATTATTGCGACCTCCCAGCTAGTCTGGAAGCAGAGGCCCTTCTCCACTCCCTCCACCCCTGTTCTCCTCTAGATGGCAGGGAAGGGCATCAAATCACTCAGTGTTGATAGGCCTCAGCTGAGTGATAGAATTGCATCATTCACAAGTTTTAGTATAACCCTTAACCGTTTGAGTCCCAAGCAGCGCAATTGCGCTGCTGAGATTTTATGTGGAGAAAACATATGATTCGTTTGAGTCCCAGTGGGTATTGAAAAAACACTGTCGAAGAATCCCAAACAGCGCAACCGCGCTTTCTCTAAATGAGTACGAAAAGACCCAAACAGCGTGATAGCGCTTGTTTTATTTTATGTCGAGAAATACCAAGCAGCGCAATCGCGCTGCTTGGGACTCAAACGGTTAAAAATCCTTTAATATAGCCCTGGCCAGTTTGGCTCAGCGCTAGAGCAGTGGCCTGAAGACTGAAGGGTCCTGGGTTCAGTTCCGGTCAGGGGCACGTACCTTGGTTGCAGACTTAACCCCCAGCCCTGGTCTGGGCACGTGGGCATGTGGCGAGGCAACCAATCCATGTGTCTCTCTCACATTGATGTTTCTGTCTCTCCTCCTTCCACTCTCTCTAAAAAACATTGGGGGGGGGGGGGAATCCTCAGGTGAGGATTAACAAATTAAAACAAAAATCCTTTAATACAAGTCAAGAAAATCAAAGCCAGAGAGGAGGAGGGTGGCACAGTACCCTAGGAAGAACAACCTGGTGGCTGGGACACCGGGTCCTGGCCAAGTCTCTAACATCCCATTGTAAGGGGGCTGGACTAGATCAGTGGTGTAGTGCCCCACGGACTCCTCCGGACACGCTGCAGCTGAACCAGCGGACTGCAGGGCTTCACTCCCAGAGACCCTGGTCGGGAATCAGAAAAAGTACCTCACGTGATGGGGAGGTGCAGCCAGGTTTTAAACCCACAGACCCAGGTCTTACCACATGTTTCCCTGTGCCTGAAGGTAGGTTCTTAACAAATATTGTTTGAATGACAAAATACATAAAATCTCCTTCAGCAATTATGCTGGTTGGCTAGTGGCTCCTTGCAGTTGCCCTAAACCAACAGCAGATGGTACTGTTATATCAGCAATGACTATCTAATGGGTTTAGGACAGGGATTTTCAACTGGTGTGCCACAGTAATTTTAAAACAGGCATTATTTGACTATTTAGTCAGGGGTACGGACCTCTTTCCCCTTAGATTGTCAAAAGAAAAATGACAAGAGCCAACACAACAATAGCCATCTCGTCTGAATGAATTAAAATTATACCTATTTTTTTGCTGATCAGCATAAAATATATTTTTTGTTGTGCCGCAGAATTTTAGTAATTAGTGTGTGTGTGGTGAGATGAAAACGGGTGAAACTGGCTTAGGATCATAAAATGCAGTGTTCCAGAGCTACCTCACACACAGCACGAACTGGCACACGTTAGGACCAAAAATGGCCTTTTCCCCACAGCCATCTGCTGGTGTTGCCCGTGCCTGCTGAGGAGGCAGGCACCTTCCAGGCTCAGGGCACACTGCCCTTTTGGCACCGCCTCTGTAAACCTCATGCAGAGGCTTCCTGGACCTACAGCCACAGGAGCTCCTGGCACCACAAAGCGCCTCAGGCAACCAGAGGGCAGGGCCTCCAGGTCCTCGGCCACCAAAGACTACCCACAACCACATGGTGGGCTCCCAACTCCAGAGGTGAAACCAGTGCCTAAATCAGTGATGGCGAACCTATGACACGCGTGTCAGAGGTGACATGCGAACTCATTTTTTTGGTTGATTTTTCTTTGTTAAATGGCATTTAAATATATAAAATAAATATCAAAAATATAAGACTTTGTTTTACTATGGTTGTAAATATCAAAAAATTTCTATATGTGACATGGCACCAGAGTTAAGTTAGGGTTTTTCAAAATGCTGACACGCCGAGCTCAAAAGGTTCGCTATCACTGGCCTAAATCAAGGTCACTGCTTCCCCAGAACACAGGCAGCAGCGTTGTAACCATCCAGGGCTCCCAACCAGGTGAGAGGCAGGAGCAGCCTGAGTGATCACCACTCAGCAACAGCCCTGAGCAGCCCGGCAGACAGAGCAGTATGGCCTCCAAGGCAGCTCTGTCCACAGCTGAGCCTGCACTCCTAAGGCAGGTCTGTGCTCACTGGAGCAACCAGAGGGCAGGGCCTCCAGGTGCTCAGCCACCAAAGACTACCCACAAAGGCTTCTCCACTTTCTTCTTGGGATGTTTCTAAAAGCAGCCACACGTTTCAGTGGGTGCTGCTCACCCCTGCTGAGCTGTCCCTACTTCCTTGGGCTTAAACACTTGCTCTCACCCTCAAATCACTTCGAGGATTTTTAGGAAGAACAAAGAAGACTCTATCAAGACTCTATAAACCAAAATCACTAGAAGAACTCTATAAGGCAGAAGAACCATGGGACTGGTGAACTGAATTGGCCCCAAGGGAACATCCACAACAACCCACTCATTTCACATGTCAGGAACCAGAGGCCAGAAGGGAAAGGACCTGCCCGAGGCCCACAGCAGCCAGAGCAGACCGGGCAGACCCAGCCCAGCCTCCTGACTTGCACCGTTGCTGCATGTTCAGGAAGTGCCAGCCCGTGGGGATCAGCAGAGACAAGCTCCCTGAAAGCTGCATGCCAACCACAGCGCTGTCTGAGTGGAATCATACAGCTTGTCTTTGCTGACCAGCGAACACACAAAGATTCTTTAAAATATTAGCATGGCATACTTTTTAACGAATGCTGAGGAAGTGGTCATATGTTTAGTACTTTAAAATGAGATCACAAATCAATCTTCATAAATTCACAAAAGAGAAAGGCTTAATATTGTGGGGGAAATGCCCGATCGTTGCTTCCCTTCCCAGAAGTCACACCACCTTCCCGCCAGGCCCAGGTTGGTCATCGGTCCCCACTCCCCATAGGAACTGGGACAGAAATCCAGTGCCCATGCTCCAGGCCTCTCAGGTCCTCTCCTTTGAGCCTCTAAGATGATGAGGTAGACAAAACAGGAAGAAGGGAATGTTGCTCCACTTCCTGAAAAATCCCGAAGGGCCACACAGCTCCTAGTCTTCCCACAGGAAGTGAAAGTGGGAAGTCCTTCTCTTCCCATGTGGGGGAGGCGTGAAGAAGGGAACGTGAGCTGGGCGACCTAAGTTTATCTCCAAGTATGAACTCTAACAGGTTGGCTTTCAACCCTCAAGACAGACACTAGACAGGTAAGCTTTAGCTTTTCCACTGAAGACGGGATCACTGTGCTTGTCCTACTACTTTGTAAGAATGAGATGTTAATAATTTGGAGGTCAAAAAAGCTTAACCTTGAAGTAAGATAGGTCTGAGTGGGAATCCTGACTCTGCCAGTTCCTAAGGATATAACCTTGAGCAAATTACTCAGTCCCTGGCTGACTTGCTGTTAAGTGAAATTGATATTGTGTCTACCTCATAGGGCTGTGGTGAGGATTAAATAAACTGAGTCACAGAAAGTCATTAGGACAGAGCCTGGCACATACCAAGCCTTACTTTCATGAGATGCAGGCATCCCAACAGCAATGGAAGGGATGAAGGGATGTTGATGAAGAGAATATTATCTCATCCATTTTCTAGCCAAGTAATCCCCAGGGAAAGGATAACTGGGGTTATGTACACTGAAAGGAAAGGAGAGGGAGGTTAAAAGATAGGATGTTAAGTTGCTGGTCTCCAGACCCACCTGTGAGCAGATCAGACAGAGCCTGCGCCCTGAGGCTCCCCCCGTACCTGCGCCACTGCGGCGGGTGCTCATGTCCGCCACGTACGTCCACTCATTGGTCGCTGGGTTGTACTGCTCCACGGTGCTCAGGCACTGGCGGGAAGCCCCATCGTAACCCCCAACAGCATAGAGCTTTCCTGGAACAGACAAAGTAGCTGAGGATGGTGCTTGGGACGCTGGCATGAAACCAGAGGGTGACTGCAACTCCACCCTCACCTGCATCAGAGCTCAGGACCCCTTTCTTCCGTGGGACCAACTTACTCCCCAGCCAGGATAAGCATCCTTCACATCTCAGACTTCTACTTCCCATACATACTGAGCTCCTCACAGCTCAAAGCTATGGCCCAGCACTGCAGGGGCCCAGCATATTCTTACTGGTGAACCATGTTAAGTATTCTCCAGAATGAGGTACTGAGAGATGGAAAACTAGAGGGCCGCAGCTACAGGCGGACAGAACAAATATGGGAAATTATTCTTTGGTGAGAACCCAAACTCTGTCTTAGCCATGGTTTGTGCTCTGTCCACAACTCTCACAGGTGGAGCACGTGAATGGAGGGCTCGGTGTGCATGCTGGGCTGACATGGCTAGAATGAGTCTGCACACTCCCTTGTGATCTCTGAGCCCTGAAGCAAAATCACCTACTGGTAAAATAAAAATATCATAAGCTGTTACCTAAGAACATCGTTTCTGCCTGGGTTGGGATTGAGGTTGGGAAAAGTAAATTATTTGACTTCTCCCAGAGCAGGGGTTGAAACATTTTGGGCTGAACATGTAGTCTTAGAATGAAGTAGGAGGGTCGTGTGTGTGTGTGTGTGTGTGTGTGTGTGTGTGT